CTTAGCAACTTCAGCACAACCCGAATCATCAGATGACCCATCTTCTTCCTCCTTCACTTTTTATGGCGGAGATCCAAATTCAACAACAACCCATGATAATATTATCATAAAAGGTCCAAAAGAGACTTCACCTTTATCATCACAAGATTCAGCATCTGTGGCTATGCCTATGTCATTCATGACTGGATCAATTGTGGGGAAGAGGTTTTACAAGAAAGTGACAACTAGAGAAGCTGATGATGGAATTGGTTGGAGTGTTATGCTTGATTATCGTACCCTTAAAACCCCTTCTAAGCGTCCCCTCAAATGCCCAACTTTAGCTCTTGCTAAAGCTATTGCTGCTGAATGGGAACACCAGGTGCTCATTTTAGTTCATTAGCATATTTAGGATTAAGAGAAGTAATTAATAAAATTCTTTCTGTAGATTCCCTTTTTTTGTGGGATGGTTGTTTGGTTATTCATGTGTTTTGTACCATCTCCCCATTTTCTGACATATGCAATTTGGTTCATTAGTTGGATAAGTTATATGCAATGTCAGTGTAAAGAAATTTTTGTCCCATGTACCTGTTGGAGCACGTAACCTGTCTTATTTTCAAGATTAAAAATCCTATATCTAAAGAAAGTTTAGCTTTAGATAGTGACCTGATAGTATAAAAATTTATGATGAATATATAACTTAACTGTAAGTAATTGGGAAATTCTTTTGTATTTTTTTTTGGTGGGGTTGATTGTTTTGTTATTCATGTGTTTCTGTGTGTGTATACATTGATACCATTTGTGTTATTTCAATGAAATTTGATACTTCCGTTTAACTTGATGTTTAAGTTGTGTGTTTTTGTCACCCTAGTCCTGAAATGTCTTTTAATTGTAGGAAGCAGATGGGATCAGACCCTTTACTATGCCACTGACGAAACTTTCATGTACTGCACTAGAAAGAGTTCCACTGACGCGTCAAAAGATTATTGATCATTTGATGAAGAAATTCCCTCAAGATTTAGTATTCTGTCGTGCTCCTGGGGATAATGATCTGACAAGCGGAGTTTGTGGTATGTTATCTTGCAAGTTGCAAAATATAATTTTTATCAGTTTTCAGAATGTGCTCTCTATATTTTGCTTTTCGCTGTTCCTAACATATGTCTTTAGGAGCAAACTTAGGTCTGAACCTTTACTTGTCTGGTCAATTTCTGATGATCAAGATTTTGTTTCTATAACGTGGCAAAAGGTAGTGGTGATACAATTTTTAAAGTTCGTTGTTTCCCAACTGTCCTCATTTTTTAAATTAAGAACAGTGTGTGTGTGTGTGTATGAACAATACATATTTCCATATGTGCATGTCTAGATCTCACCCACCATCAGTTTTGGTCTTTGCCGAGGACATACCATACTGCTGTTAGCTAGTGTACTTCGAGTTTGGAAGGAGGGAGTTTCTTTTTCTCTGTGTGAATTTTTCTGATTGCGCTACTAACAGACTAACAGTGGCATCTAGACAAGGCTCCCTGTCTGCCTATCTTCGTCAAGAAACATCTCAGACTTCATGCATCTTGAGATTAAATGGTCAATAGTTAATTTATTTTTTCCCCATCAAGGATTTGATGTTTAATAGTGCAAAGTATCTTACGAGCATTTTGTGAAAACACAACTCTGCTGCCTCATATTAGATTTGTTTCAAATTTTGGAGGACATGACAGAAATGATAACACAGCGCTGATTTTTGTGCTCCGGAAATTTGTTCCTCCACTCCGTACATGTGAACTTCCCACTGTACCTTAGAGATTTTAGTTTTTTTTGGTGATAAAGTAAGTGGATTAAAGAAAAGGCATCAAGAAGATGCAATGAGTATATAGCATTTAAGCTTGCAAAAAATCTAGCTGGACCTTAGAGATTCACTTAGCAGTATATTGGTGGTCCTAGAAACCACACTACTTCCTTGGTAGAAAAGGAACTATCTTCAAGGTTTGATTTCAATCAGCTGAAGAAAAAACTTGTGATGGGGCAATGGGTGCTAGTGTGTGAGAGCTTTACCAAGAGGGGCTACAGCGTTGTGTGAGTGGAGAAACTGGCCGGACATGACATGGTTGGACTAGGGTTGTGCTCCAATGCCGTTTTGACTTTAAAAGGATCTGAGTCTAATGTGCAACAATGAAGNGTTTTGGGGGGGGGGGGGATTTCACCACAGTTTTCATATTGGAGGAGGGAATTGATGGTTTTGGGTTGTGATACTGGTCCCAAAAAAGAGAACGAAATGAAACATAATTTGATTGCTACGTACTTTTCAATGTTGGTAAAAGGCATGCTGTATTTTAGTGTTGACGGAGCACGGGAGCTAACTTCTTGGAGCACAAGTGTCAGCACCCATGATGATATCTGTCTATTCTAGTCCCTTGTTGTATTTGAAAACCGTGAAGTCCCTTTTTGATTCCTGAGACGAACTAAAACAAACTACTGTAGTATTTAGTGGAGCTATTACCTATTAAAGTGATCCTAGAATCTTGTAACATTGTTAGGTCCTTCTATAGGGATAAGCTTAGCGCTCAAAAGTTCCATCTATTTGGCTAGCTGTAAAGCACCTGCAATTAATTATTTTTTGCACTGTGTATTATCACGAGATCTTGAAGAGTTGACTCCAGATTCTGAGCATAAATATGATCCGCTCTTGTAGTATGCTAAATGCTTATGGCAGGCCTACAATTCTCTGTTGTTTGTGTTGGCATTTCATTTGGGTTTCATAATATTAGTACTTTTCGCATATTAATCTGGCAATTTGAAATTCATAGAGCGTCAAGTGGAGAAAATCGATCCTCTTCTTAAGTGGGTAGAGTCAGAATTTGGCTTCAAGCCAGCCGTATATACCAGTTTTTAAGTGGGTAGAGTCAAAATAACACTTCAGATGCACTTAAGGCCAAATAGGTCTGAAGTGTAATCAATGGTTTCATGCACTTAAGGCCATTAAGTTTGAAGTGAAAAATTGCACTTCAGATGGACTTAAGGCCACAGTTCTGAAGTGCAACAAACGTTTTCCTACACTTAAGGCCAATAAGTCTGAAGTGAAAAATTACACTTCAGATGCAGTTAAGGCCAAAAGGTCTGAAGTGCAACAAACGTCTTCCTACACTTAAGGCCAATAAGTCTGAAGTGAAAAATTACACTTCAGATGCTCTTAACGCCAAAAGGTCTAAAGTGCGACCAATGTTTTCATGCACTTAAGGCCGAATAGGCCCGAAGTGCAAATTGCTCAGAAACAGAAATTTGTTCTTCGAATTATAACAATCCAATATACGATTTAATACCTAAATCTACTCCAAATGAGCTCAAATTTAAAACATAACCTCCAAATATCATCAAGAACAAACCCCAATCATTAATTTGTCAAAACAACAATAAATCTAACGAACCCATTTTGCAATTAAGAAACAGAAGAAGAAACCCTAAGCAATAGTAAAAAATAAAGAGTCATAACATCTCATCACTGTAAAACATCATAAACTACCTTAAAATATGTTCATAAACACCATATAAAATTACTGTCACCCGAAGAAGAAGAAGAAGAAGAAAGAGGAGAAAAAGGAAAAGTGGGTACAAGTTAAAAATATACGTACATATACGTATATATATATATGTATATGTATATTGGGCCGAAATGTTTTACTGAGGCCTGCTTCCTGCAAGAACTATTGGGCCTAGCCTAGCAGGAAATACAACATCTTCTTCAGCTGCACCGATCAGAGCTTTGTAGCTTCCTCTTCGCTCGGAGCTATGGCGGCTGAAATCGTGAAGAAAAGTCTTGAAGCTTCAAACTTTTTATAAGTAGTTTTTCTAATTCACTTATTTGGAATGTCTTGTGCTGCCTGGTTTCGAGCTGCACAGCGAGTAACTACTACTGCCTCAGCTTCAGAATTCCACAAAAAATGCATCTGCAATGAGATTATTGGTAATCTTTTGTTTGTTCCTATTGATTTTGGTACTTTAAGCATATGTTTCTAAATAAATACGACTCGCTCTGTTCCACTTTTTGTTTGTGCCTATTGATTTTGACCACTTTCTTGCAATATTTTTTAAATATTTTGAATTCCTAACTATTGCACCGGGCTAACTATTGTAACTTAAAGTTAGTCAACTTGGCCCTCGTACTCCAAACTACGTCACATAAAGTGAAACAAAGGGAGTAGTATACTGAGCTAGTAGAAATTTTAGACTGAGCCTAGGAATCTTTGCTTTGCTTTTCCTATTCAGCCTAATATAGTGTTAGAAGCCAACCAGCACCGGAGGCCAAACATTCATTCTGCTAGAATGTTAATTTGTTGCGCACTGAAATAAAATGGAGTTTTAATGGATTAATATAGCCAACCACAACTATTCTGGGATTGATTTGTACTAGTTATATTGTTATTTTTCTAATTTTGCTTATGTAATGCTTTTATTAGGCTTTGAAAGATTTTGTATTTTAAAGTTGATACTCATCATAATCAGGTGCTACTTTTTTCTGTTTTAGGATTTCCATCAACGAAGATTGGTGGTGGAACTCCAGTTTCAGTATCAAAACATTTTTTCTTTCAGAACGTTGCGAAATTCTGCACTCTGTTAGGTCAAGAGAGGGCAGATGATGAAGTATTAGATAATGTTGCTTCAGATGGTGATGATGCTTGTGACAATGTACCAGAGGACTTCAATGTTAAAGCTGCTGCTAGTCATACTGATGGTCGACCGCAAGCTAAACATCCCACTGAAGACTTGGTTGATTTTACACGGATTCATATTAACAAGCTGCCAACGGTTGTGATCATAGGACGACCTAATGTAGGGAAGTCAGCATTGTTTAACCGGTAAGTACAGCAACGGACATTTAAATTTGATTTGTAATCAAGTGCGAGGGAACACTTCAGTCATCGTTGTGTAATCGTTAATCTGCTTTTGATTTGTAGATTGATACGAAGGAGGGAGGCCCTTGTATACAACACTCCTACTGACCATGTTACCCGGGACATACGAGAAGGTGTTGCAAAACTGGGCAATTTAAGGTTTAAGGTGTTGGATTCTGCTGGCTTAGAAGCAGAGGCTTCTTCTGGTTCTGTTCTTCGTAGAACTGCAGAAATGACTGGAAATGTGCTGTCAAGATCTCAACTTGCGCTCTTCTTAGTTGATGCAAGGTTGAAAAGAATTTTAGTATATGAAAATACGAAATCTTGGTTTCTTCAATACTATCTTTTCTCTTCTCTGTTGATTATCAGATAGATAATTACGGTAACTCTTTTTTCCTTTTCCAATAAATTACTTATAAAGAAGGAAAAAGATAATTTTTTTTTAAGAATAGGACAAAGAATATGTAAATCTCACAAGAAATTTAACTTCATTCATTGTTCTAAAGGTGCATGAGTTGGCTGCAATAGATGAGATTTCTTATTGTCTAATTGAAAAAGGATGAAAAATCTGCTGAAAAGGTACTATTTGCTAAAGTAAAGCATATTTAATCACATTATCACACACCTCAAAGCTGGTACCTTGTGAAACTCAAACTTTGCATACTGTATTACAAAAACTTTCTGGATGCAAAAATTAACTATCCTTTTGTATTGTGACTAGAAGGACTGCAGCCTATGGATTTGGATGTTGGAAAGTGGTTGAGGAAGAATGCACCTGGAATGAAGACTATTGTGGTGATGAATAAAGCTGAATCGCTTGATGACTATGATGGTTCTCTTGCAGCTGCTGTCGGTGAATCTTATACCTTAGGATTTGGTGATCCCATTGCTTTATCTGCTGAAACTGGAATGGGCATGGCTGAACTTCATGAAACTCTTCGACCATTACTTGAAGAATATGTGCTCCAAAACGTAAATGGTAAGAAACTCATGTCCCAGAGAGAATTTTGGTGCTTGGTTATTATCCACCTTTATCTGAATCTTCTTGTCCTTTTCAAGGTTTTATTTCAGAGGAGGAGTTTTTTCCTCATAAATGTTTTGATCATCTACCTCTTCATCTCCCTATGCTTGCCAGTGAGTGTGCATTCTGTAGTGACTTGGAATCGCATCTTCATTTGGCTTCTTCAAATGTTGCCTTTGTCTGTTTTGAGATTAGTTTGCTTTTGCATGGTCAAATTGAATATTAATCTCAGTATCCTTGCTAAAGGTATCTCTATCAATAATATGAGTGCAGGATCTGGTTGCTGTTATGATTTGTGCGGATTGTTGAAAACAGCTCAATATGGCTAGTAACTTCTAGAACCATGTTACTGGTGTAGTTTATTAACATCATGAATATGTGATACTCAACCCTAAAGCATTACTCCTAAGATCATGTAATTGCTCAGTTGAAGTTTGGTGTACTGCGCAGAAAGAAGATAATATTTTAGGTTGGTACAATTACAATAAACAACTCCAGCTACTTAAGTGAAACTACAGAGATGCATGTCATTTTGGATTTGTTCTCAAAAGATTAAACAAACAGTATTAGAAGCTACATGAGTGAGACTGGAAGCTAATTTTCTCTCTTTTAGCTAAGTTATATATCTCTTTTGTCCATGTAGAGGAGAGAGGATGGGAAGTAGAGAATGATATAAGAAACACTTCTATTTGGTTAATCTCTCTATGCTTTGCATACTGAAAATGGAGTATATCTTAAATCAAGTGATGTATCTTCTAGAAAATATTCCTTAATGTGATTATACAGTGACCTGTCACATGTTGAGAGATATACCTGCAATTGCAGAGGTACAAATGCAGCATTCTTTTGTAGAAGTGTTTCTTTTTTCCTGCAGAGCTTATCAACTTCGCTTCTGATCTTTCTTGCTATTCTACATGTAATCTTTCAGATGATGAGAGCCAGGAGAATGACTCCTCTGAGGATATGGAGTGTAAATTGCCATTGCAGTTGGCAATTGTCGGGCGGCCCAATGTTGGAAAGTCAACCTTGTTGAACACAATCTTGCAAGAAGATCGTGTTTTGGTTGGCCCTGAGGCTGGTTTGACTAGAGATTCCATTCGTGCTGAATTTGAGTACCAAGGAAGAACAATTTATTTGGTAAGTATCTGTAACTCTGATGCAAATATTGTCCGTCACTAGTCAATTCAAGTTTGGCTAACATTTTTCTTTTGAAAAGTAATCTCATAGATGTAAAAGCCATTAGCATGACCTTCTTCAGCTTCATTGTAACGATTGCACTCAAGGAGATCACATTAAAAAAAATTAAACTTTTTTTTTTATATCTTAAAATTTTTAATCTTCTTCTTATTCCTTTTATTTTGCCTCTTTTTCTTTTACAAAAAATATCATGTCCCCCCCAACCCACGAAATAATTGTCTCACAAATTCAACCACGAAAAAAGAAGCAAAATCTATAGGCAAAGCCAACATCAAAGACCTACATAGTAGATGAGTAGGATTTAAGTTCATATCGAAACTAAAACCTGCCTTATCTCAACAAGAATCCGCATTTGTTTCTCAACAAGAGCAGCAAGGTTACAGCTTTCTTCCTCTCCTACCACCCTTTCTGCAAGTGCTATCAGTACGAACTGGAATCACATCCTCTATACGACCAATTTTCATTCCTAGGCCCCTAGTGGGTAAGAGCCCCGAGATCATACTGAGCACCGGGTTTAGGTGTTTTAGTCTTGTTTCCACCAGTGGCTTGAAGCTTAATGTGAAGTGCATTGATGCCAAGCTCCTTGCATCTCTGAGAAACATCTTGTGCAGCAAGCATAGATGCATATGGGGAAGATTCATCCCTATCGGCTTTGACCTTCATACCACCAGTAATACGAACCATTGTTTCGAGAAATAAATCACATGAATAACAGTGTCATTGAATGACGCAAAACAGTGTTGTCAAAGGCTTATTTAAGGCGCGCTAAAGCTTAGAAAAGCTCAGGAAGGGTGCTTCGCTTAGCTTAACTTAATCTTTACTTCAGTGTATCATTGCCCATGAGTTCTACCTTGAATAGAGGCTCCTTGATTTATGTATTAGCATGATCGATTCTGATGTTGGGAGGGTATAATTATCTCAGGTTGACACAGCAGGTTGGTTGGAAAGGACAAAACAGGACAAGGGCCCAGCATCTTTGAGTATTATGCAATCAAGGAAGCACCTTATGAGAGCACATATAATTGCTTTGGTCCTCGATGCAGAAGAGGTTAGCTAATTGTGACTATCAATCTTTTTGGTTTTAGATTCATGAATTTGGCCCACTTAATGTATTTGCTGTGTGATAAACGATTAAATTACAATTTTAATAAACTGGCTTAGATGCACCCAAGGGTGTGACATAGTAGTCAGTGAATTGGGTGAAAACCACGGAGGGCAGGTTTCAAATCCCATTAGAGACAAAAATGCTCGGTGATTTCTTTCTTCCCATATGCCTAAACCTTTGTGCACAGAGTTACGGTACCTATGCTAATGTGAGATAGCAGGTACCCGGTAGAATAGTCAATGTGAGCGCAAGCTAGCCCAGAGATGACTATTATAAAATGTGGAAAACATTACAGTGCTTTAGCTGTTACTAGAATTTCTGTGAACCATAATGTTCTTTTCTGTCTTCTTTCTGAGAACTGGACAACATTTTAACTTTTGTATCTCTTACTTGAATAAGAATGACTGAAAGGGATAGTGGAGAGCTGCTGGATCTGGTTTAAACAGTGTATGAAGGAATGACTCGCATCAATGTTTCATATATCTAGCATCCGCTTGGGGGCAACAACCTAGAACATTGGCTGAAAAGTGTAACCAACACCTGTAATATAGATGTATCAAATGCGATGCAACATAATATAGCTCTATGCCTGCTAATGGACTGACAATACAACGGGATTTGTGTAGTTGCTGCACTACCTGAGTCATGAATAATCTCCAAAAGTTTTCCTTGTTTTCTCCCCTCCTTTAAAGCTCTTGTGGTATGAGTAATTTCTATTTCTGTGTTTTATACATATTTTTTTCTAACCGTCATACAACTGTTCTATATTTTTTCCTTTATAATGATTAGATTGCAAAAGCTAGGCGGAGCATGAAGCATGCTGAAGTAGTTATAGCGAGGCGAGCAGTAGAGGAAGGACGTGGTCTGGTTGTGATTGTAAATAAGATGGATCTTCTAAGAGGGGAAGAAAATTCCAAATTGTACAAGCGCGTAATTGAAGCTGTACCTGCAGAAATTCAGACAGTTATACCACAGGTTTGTCAGTGTGTAAAACTATAATCTCTTGCTGCAATTATCCTACTGTTTATTTGAATTTTTCTCATGCATATGCCTTTGGAGGAGCTTGTCCACCATTCCATAATATAAGTGAATTCTTGACATTTATGTCCCTAATATTTTTTTTAAATTTGTTTTTAGAAGGATATCACTTCTATGGTAAGTCACTGAGTGTCTCAAGACATTTAGGAACGTGAGATTTCTTGTGATTGTATAAATAGACTATGTAAGGAAACATGTGTGGACAAGTAATCACGGGATTAATCTTTGGCAGTTCCTTCTCTTTCTTTCTTAAAAAGAAGTGATGCAGAATCGGAATTTGCTGTACTTAGTTGTGTATTACCACTTGATTGATGAGTATGCTATTCAAGGACAACTTCATTTTCTCCTTGAACAAAATTCTTATTAATAGAAAAAGTTTTATGCACTGGCAACAATATAGTTACTTTAGCTGATAATTGGGACCTGATTTTGTACTGTATGTCTTATGTTTCCTTTTCGTATCTTTTGATGCATGTTATCAATTTAAAAATAGGTAGATGACCTTCGGGAGAATTCTCTGTACAATTTCAGTTGTAGAACTTGATTCATCATTAAGGCAATTTATTTGCAGGTCACAGGAATACCCGTTGTATTTGTTTCAGCACTAGAAGGAAAGGGCCGGATGGCTGTCATGCGTCAGGTTGTTGAAACATATGAAAAATGGTGTTTGAGATTGCCTACAGCTCGTCTTAACCGTTGGCTACGCAAGGTATACATTTTCCCTAAATGTGCCACATCAGGCCAAGTTATATTTGTCTGGGTAAATAAATGTTGATTGACAATGTGTGGCAGGTCATGAGCAGACATTCTTGGAAAGACCAGGCGGCTCAACCCAAGATCAAGTATTTCACTCAGGTGAAAGCTAGACCACCAACTTTTATTGCATTTATGAGCGGAAAAACCCAGCTCTCAGAGACAGATTTGAGGTTCCTAACTAGATCTTTGAAGGAAGACTTTGACTTGGGTGGGATACCAGTCCGGATATTGCAACGAACTGTTGAAAGAAATGGTAGGACTAAAACTAGCAGCAAGAACGAGCAATCAACTAATAGAGCGGTGGAAAGGGTGGTCTCTGACAAAAGAACCATCCTTGCTGTAGAAAACAGCAGCACCACTTGAATTATCCAAACTTTAGCTTATCAATGATCATAACTTAATTTGGAGGAAGATAGAAATAGAGTATTTTTGGTCTTTGCGAAGGTAGGTGTCCATCTATTTGGGTTGGGTGCCCGGCAGTGGCTTTTGACTTGCCTTTTTAATTCCGTCCTCCGCTGTCTCAATTCTTTCTCTTCATTTTATCCTATCATAGATAACTGCCTTTATTTTATGCTTATGTAAATATGTCTAGGAAGTGAAGTTTCTTTTTATTCGAAGAAGGTAATATGTAATCATGTACGTATGTGTGTTTCTCTACTTGGTCCATAATTTAGCGAAATAGCTGTTATGTTGCACGCACATGTGTGTATAATGGACTCAAAATGAGGGAAGAGGGAAGACAGATCATAACATTTTGCTGATTATCATTTTTTTTTTCCATCTATCCTGAAATGAGGATAGAAGTTTTTCCAATTTTATTGACCTGCCAAATTAATCTACTAGCTTGTCAAGCGTAATATAAGATCCAAAATTCACGTCATTGATGTCCTATATATATAGTTCGAATTGTTGGAGAATACATTGGAGTAAATTTTCTGGATAAGTACAACAACAACAAAAAAAAAATCAAGTTTAATCCCATAAGTGGTGTATGGGAAAGATAGTGTGTGCGCAGACCTTACCCCTACCTTATAAAGTTAGAGAGACTTTCTGGATGAATAAATGTTAGTTTTATTATTAATTAAAAAAAACTGCACCAAGCAAGTGCTGAATTTGCAAATATGATAAGACCATCTTCTTTTAACTAATACATTATGCATTTTACACTAAAATGACTGTACACAGTTTACGCATTTGATAAAACATTTCTCTCTAAATGCTCCACACAATACCAGAAGGAACTGCATTTCGCAGATTGGAGAAACGTCTAAACATAGAATCACTTAACCATGCCTGGGAATTTGTGCTCTTAACTCTAGAGCTCAGTATATACTTAGAGAAAGAGCAAATGAATTTGTTCGGAATATCACTAGCTACAGCCATCAGCGTCCCTCAATGTCCCCTGGTGTCTGAGTTATACAGGCAGAAATATAGTCTTTACTTGGCATATCTTTGCATACTTTATCAAACAATACAATAAACATTTTATAGTAACGTATGTGGATGATCTGAAGATTTAAGTAATGGGTTCTTGCTTACCACATCAAAATCAAGAGAAGCAACTTCTTTCCTAGAAGGATAGAGCACATAGTGTTGCACAATGAAGAGATTGTCAAAGAATATCGACACCTGCAACATTCATTTCATCAAAACCACATAATTGTCTGTGCCTTAAACTAGTAATTAGACGCAAGAACGGGAAACAAAGAGAATCTGAAGTGAAGTGTAGTAAATAAATAGAGCGATATAAAAGGAAATTACTTACCAATGACAATAAGGTCTTGCCGATGTTTCCATAAAAGTTAACCCAAGAATCTGTACAGAAAATAGTTCGGAAATATTTCTACATTAGGCACATATATAGAATCTCATAGAAATCCTTAACTAGGTAAAAAATAGAAATAGCAAAGTATGTTAGTCAAACACTATATACAATTGAAATGGTGAAACTCACGTTGATCTATGGATTGCACTGCCATCTGCCCATAATTTGTTAAACCTCCAAACAAATCCAGCAAAATGTTGCCAATACTAAATCCAATTGTGCTCTTTCGCCGGAAATTCATAACAACCTATAGATTTTTCAGAGCCAATAACTTTAATTCAGTATAAACATTTCACAAAATCTTGTAATTTGAATAGAAGAGAACAAAATCACAAGCAATTCATATAGAAGTCTGAGTTTTTTCCCTTCAAATAGAGCAACAATTACCTGGGGAATGTACTTAATTATTGTCATAACAACCTGCAATGTGCTGCAGTTAAGATAAAGAAGTGTGAGATTTTATTGTTATAGTGGTTAAATGGATAAAGTACTGTTACTTTAACTTGACCAATTTTTTTTTAATTTTTATGAAAATTTTTAAACATGAAGAAAAGGGTGTTAAGTAGAACTAATTGTGGATTTGAAAGAAAGTGGCTTACTTGAAGCAGGAAACTAGCCATAGCCAAGAATGCTTAGGGAAAGACACAAAAACACAAACTGCAACACTTAACCAAGCAACAGTGACAATTGCTATAGCAGTTTTTGAGACCTTCTGATTTCCACGCTGTAAAAAGAAATATGTATGTTTATTAGAATCAAGTCATAAACTCACATTTCAGTATGCATATAATATTTGATTTGAAAAGAGTAAAAAAAAAGAACGGTATACTTACATCATAAATAACAATCTGAAATAAGGTAAATGCTGTTAAAGCAACCGCATGAGTAGAGAAAGCCACATCGTTGGCAGCTACAGGTATCATCTGAAATTAAACAATGAAAGGTAATCAGCAGTTCAGCACATTAGTCGTTAAATTCACTATAAAACATAGTATCAACTTAATATGAAGAAATAAAATAGAAGGAAAGTTCGTGATTTTAGTCCATCAAATATCTAAAAAAAATTATTTTGATCCTCGTGATATTTAGTTAAACATATATAGCCTTCTATCAATTAATCAAATTGTGCACTTTTACTATACTTGAGAATCTTCATAAATTTAGTGGATTATTAATTATTAAACTGTTTAATTACAAATTTATTTATGCAAAAAAACTGTATTTATCTCTATAGAAATAGTCCAAATTAACATATTTCCTATATAAAGGGACAAAAACAAATATTTTTATTTAATAGAAGATGTAATGTGCTTAACCAAATATAACACGTCCAAATTCATGTTTATAATAAATGAATTATAATTTTTCAACATTGGAACAACTGTTGCAATTCAATATGGTATCAAAACAAGCATATGAGCAACTGCAACGTATTTAATGTAAACAGTTCAATGTGTTTCCGCGGTTCATACAATTCAATAGAAAAAAACAAAATGAGAAAAGGATTTGAAGATGGTGTAATAAACCTCGTTAGAGCCATATCAATGATGGTATTGCCTTTGAACAGCAGAGCTGAAGAACATGGAAACATTGTAGATGAGATACGACGAGTGCTTCGTCAAATTCAACACCACGAAATCAAAATTCAACCCCACCAAAATGTTTTTCATTCAAAAAAAATCACGCAAAAAACATAATTATTTACCAAAGAAAAGAACTACTTAGTAAAAGAAGAAATAAATAATGTAGACAAGAAGCACAAAACCTTTTCCTACGGAAATTTAGTACGACTTGAGGATAAAAGCTAATAGACCATAAGACAAACGCAATCCATCCAAAAACATTATACAACACTTCCAACGAAACTGAATTCCATGACCCCATCAAAATCAAGCTCTTTCTTTTAGATTCTTCTGTAACTTCAAAAAACAGGACAATATGTAATCTTTGTTCGTATCAAATACTTATCGCTATTTATAGAAAATAAGCTAAAAAGATGGGCTGCTAAGCGAATCTCACTTACGAATTAAATTTTACCAAAAATATTACATCTATGTAATGAATGTGTCCCATATTACGACCGTATTCATGTCACTTGCTCCCATTATCCATATTTACGTAATCGTAAATAAGTCTATGTTCAGTAAGATTATATATATTTCCTAAAACAACTATGTTCAATATAAATTAATAAGCTAAAAATTAGGGTTAATAGTTTGGAAGCGATCAAATTGCACAATTTTTTCGGATGTGTAGCTTAAACTTGTAGTCTAAATTTTTAACCATATGTTAATAAACTTTATGCTTTTTAGTCTTTCTGTATAAATTGAAGTTCTGTATATATATATATATATATATATATATATATGGCCGAAATGTTTTACTGAGGCCTGCTTCCTGCAAGAACTTATTGGGCCTAGCTCAACAGGAAATACAACATCTTCTTCAGCTGCACCGATCAGAGCTTTGTAACTTCCTCTTCAGCTGAATTTGAGTACCAAGGAAGAACAATTTATTTGGTAAGTATCTGTAACTCTGACGTATCACTAGTCAATTCAAGTTTGGCTAACATTTTTGTTTTGAAGAGTAATCTCATACATGTAAAAGCCATTAGCATGACCTTCTTCAGCTTCATTGTAACGATTGCACTCAAGGAGATCACATTAAAAAAAATTAAACTTTTTTTTCATATCTTAAAATTTTTAATCTTCTTCTTATTCCTTTTATTTTGCCTCTTTTCTTTTTCTTTTACAAAAAATATCATGTCCCCCCCTCCCACCCACAAAATAATTGTCTCACAAATTCAACCACGAAAAAAGAAGCAAAATCTATAGGCAAAGCCAACATCAAACACCTACATAGTAGATGAGCAGGATTTAAGTTCATATCGAAACTAAAACCTGCCTTATCTCAACAAGAATCCGCATTTGTTTCTCAACAAGAGTAGCAAGGTTACAACCTTTCTGCAAGTGCTATCAGTACGAACTGGAATCACATCCTCTATACGACCAATTTTCATTCCTAGGCCCCTAGTGGGTGAGAGTCCTGAGATCATACTGAGCACCAGGTTCAGGTGTTTTAGTCTTGTTTCCACCAGTAGCTTGAAGCTTAATGTGAAGTGCATTGATGCCAAGCTCCTTGCATCTCTAAGAAACATCTTGTGCATCAAGCATAGATGCATATGGGAAAGATTCATCCCTATCGGCTTTGACCTTCATACTACCAGTAATACGTACCATTGTTTCGAGAAATAAATCACATGAATAACAGTGTCTTTGAATGACGTAAAACAGTGTTGTCAAAGGTTTATTTAAGGCGTGCTAAAGCTTAGAAAAGCTCAGGAAGGGTGCTTCGCTTCGCTTCGCTTAACTTAATCTTTACTTCAATCATTGCCCATGAGTTCTAACTTGAATAGAGGCTCCTTGATTTATGTATTAGCATGATCGGTTCTGATGTTGGGAGGATATAATTATCTCAGGTTGACACAGCAGGTTGATGTTGGGCATATTTCGATATGTGTTGATATTACTTTACCCATGTTTTAACCGCTTTTTGATGCTATTTGATCTTTAAAATGCCCAACATGGTTTAATTATTGATTTATTACTAATGGAGTTGTGTGTGATAATTTAGGGTGTTTGGAGTGCAAAAATATGAAGAAAAGGTGCTCTAGCTAGAGGAAGAGGGGTTGGATGCGTCACATCCAATCTAGAAAAAAATCAGATTTCGTGCAACCTTAGCAGTGAAGTCGGCTCATAGCATCCGCCTTAGCATCCGCACCTAGGCAAAGCTGAGATGGAGGAACAAAGACGAGGTGGATGCGACGCATCCACCCCAGCATTANTATATATATATATATATATATATATATATATGGCCGAAATGTTTTACTGAGGCCTGCTTCCTGCAAGAACTTATTGGGCCTAGCTCAACAGGAAATACAACATCTTCTTCAGCTGCACCGATCAGAGCTTTGTAACTTCCTCTTCAGCTGAATTTGAGTACCAAGGAAGAACAATTTATTTGGTAAGTATCTGTAACTCTGACGTATCACTAGTCAATTCAAGTTTGGCTAACATTTTTGTTTTGAAGAGTAATCTCATACATGTAAAAGCCATTAGCATGACCTTCTTCAGCTTCATTGTAACGATTGCACTCAAGGAGATCACATTAAAAAAAATTAAACTTTTTTTTCATATCTTAAAATTTTTAATCTTCTTCTTATTCCTTTTATTTTGCCTCTTTTCTTTTTCTTTTACAAAAAATATCATGTCCCCCCCTCCCACCCACAAAATAATTGTCTCACAAATTCAACCACGAAAAAAGAAGCAAAATCTATAGGCAAAGCCAACATCAAACACCTACATAGTAGATGAGCAGGATTTAAGTTCATATCGAAACTAAAACCTGCCTTATCTCAACAAGAATCCGCATTTGTTTCTCAACAAGAGTAGCAAGGTTACAACCTTTCTGCAAGTGCTATCAGTACGAACTGGAATCACATCCTCTATACGACCAATTTTCATTCCTAGGCCCCTAGTGGGTGAGAGTCCTGAGATCATACTGAGCACCAGGTTCAGGTGTTTTAGTCTTGTTTCCACCAGTAGCTTGAAGCTTAATGTGAAGTGCATTGATGCCAAGCTCCTTGCATCTCTAAGAAACATCTTGTGCATCAAGCATAGATGCATATGGGAAAGATTCATCCCTATCGGCTTTGACCTTCATACTACCAGTAATACGTACCATTGTTTCGAGAAATAAATCACATGAATAACAGTGTCTTTGAATGACGTAAAACAGTGTTGTCAAAGGTTTATTTAAGGCGTGCTAAAGCTTAGAAAAGCTCAGGAAGGGTGCTTCGCTTCGCTTCGCTTAACTTAATCTTTACTTCAATCATTGCCCATGAGTTCTAACTTGAATAGAGGCTCCTTGATTTATGTATTAGCATGATCGGTTCTGATGTTGGGAGGATATAATTATCTCAGGTTGACACAGCAGGTTGATGTTGGGCATATTTCGATATGTGTTGATATTACTTTACCCATGTTTTAACCGCTTTTTGATGCTATTTGATCTTTAAAATGCCCAACATGGTTTAATTATTGATTTATTACTAATGGAGTTGTGTGTGATAATTTAGGGTGTTTGGAGTGCAAAAATATGAAGAAAAGGTGCTCTAGCTAGAGGAAGAGGGGTTGGATGCGTCACATCCAATCTAGAAAAAAATCAGATTTCGTGCAACCTTAGCAGTGAAGTCGGCTCATAGCATCCGCCTTAGCATCCGCACCTAGGCAAAGCTGAGATGGAGGAACAAAGACGAGGTGGATGCGACGCATCCACCCCAGCATTAATCCCTAAAGCTGATTTGGATTAGAAATAGGAGAACTTTGGCCCACGACTTTTGTACGCAATATATAAGCCAAAAACGCCTCATTTAGGTCATCTAACATATTGGGAAGGGAGAAAAAGTCATGACAAAGCTTGGGAACCACAGAATTCATCTTGAGTTCTTATTTTTCCTTCTTTTATTGATTTTATGTACTCTTGTGAATTTTTTGATGATTGCATGAACATGAGTGGCTAAGAACCCTATTATTCTAGGGTCATGGGTATACATGAATGTTGACGTTTGACGTTTAATTTGACAAAATTGATTTTATCATATTGGGCTGTTTATTTAATTCTGTTTTTAATTAATTTGCTGAGTAGCTAGCAGTGAATTACTATCTACGAATCTAGAGTTGAACTCGAAAGTGGGAATTCTAGATTGCATATAGAATTAAATAAAGCAAGTTCTTGAACCCGGGCATTGGGGAACGAATTCGCAATTAGGATAGAAATATACCTAATTGTCTTGCTCGGTTGAAATACAGAAAGTGTAAATACATTCTTGTTAATCTTAATTCCATAGACATATAGGCATTAAGTTAGCTTGAATAAGCGAGTAAGAACTCGACAGATTCTTATGAGTAATATCAACAATGTCAATCAACAATCCAGATAAATCAATTAGTTATTTTAAGCTAAGAATGCAACATGATTGTTAGATAACCCGTGACCCGGGAATATTATCTCCTATTGATTGTTATTCGAAATCATTTAAGTGTTGTGGTTGATCTCTAGTATTTCATTACTTGATAGTTTTTAGGTAGTAAATTAGAAAATTATCTATTTGTGAGAAATCGCTTGAATCGATAAGTTATTTGAGTTTGAGTTAGTCAAAAGTTAATCATAAGTCTTTGTGGGAATGATACTCTACTCACTACTATATTACTTGACGATCACGTATACTTGTATGAGTGTGTTTGGTCGCAACGTAGGTTAAGAGGGGAACTAAAAAAGTTTGAGGCTTGGGGATGTCGTTCATGTTAGTTATAATAGTTGCGAGATGATAAACTATAATTCCCTTCATCTCGTTAATTTTGGGAGGGTAGTCGAATTACCCAACTGATAGAAAAAACTAGGTAAAGTTGTTGCATACCACATGTTCGACGAATTGCCTGTGAGGTAAATTTAGGTACCGGCGAAGTCTGAGTAACCGAGCGATACTAGTATATGCTAGTGTATAAGTGTGGGGTCGTTTGTCTTGATTGTGTACAACATTGTCGGAATGTTTTGAGCCTATGAAAGATTTTCTAAATAAATTGAACAGCCGACACATGATAGATGTCTTGAATTGTAAAGTGTTACTCGATTTGAATTATGTGAGTTCTATGCGTAATGATATGTCGTGAGAATAAGTGTGGGGTCGAATGAGCTGCTATGTGTAATTGAACATGGTTAGTGAGCCTCGCTCGGATAAACCTCATGTTGTGCATAATGATATCTATAAAGCGAAATGCTTATTTGTAGTTTTGAAGAGAGTTATCAGATCCCTACTGAAAACCATGGGCTATAGTTTCATGAAGTACTGAATGGCATGACT